TCTCCTAGGTGGGTGTCGTCAGAGTGATAGTGAGTTTGTTGAGAGCGATGTAGTTGCGTTTGAAGTAGTAGTTGAGTTCGATTTGTTGGCGATTGTGACGGACCTCCCACCTAAAAATTTCTCCTAGATGGGTGTCGTCAGGCTGAAAAATAGAAAATTTAAAGTTAGCCACTCGTATATTTGAAGTCACCCAATACAAGTACTGGGTGACTCATCTCGAGGGCATGTGCACTTCGAGGGATGTGTGGGAGCAACCCCACAGCGGTCGTTGGCGAGATTTGCGTGAGTTAGAGTAGTAGATTTGACCGCCTCTCGGCCCCGGCAGCCAGCCCTAAAAGGGGCTGACCAACCAAATGGCTAAGATCCATGTAGATCCATAACAGATACTACACTTTGATCTTAGCCAAAAGGCCGAGAAGCGATTTTAAAACTAGAATCTATATAAAATAGCGATATTTAACAATTACTTCTGTTAGTGATTATTTTTTCAAAATACAACATTTTTATTATAGAAAAATAAAAGCTATTTATTTAACGGGTGTATGATATAAACTAGAAATAAAAAAAAACTACATTTTTAAAATATCTTATAAACAAGTTTAATTTTTTACTCCATCTAAAATTATATACAATTTTAAAATAATTTTATTGATAATAAATTTAAAGCTGAATTTGCGAGGTTTATTTGTTTGTGTTATAATATATTTTCATTCTTATTTACTCCCTTGACAAAGATTTCATTTGTAACATTAACATGGGAGTTAATTAAGTGTAACATAAGATTGGTAATTTATAAAACAGCAACACAGGGTCGATTTCATAATGTACATTCAATACACTTACTAACTAAGGCTTAATGGTGGAACTACATTGACTCTATAACCCTAAAACCACTTTAAAACTATAGAAAACACACTTAAATTATTATAAAGGAGCATAAAAATGCTACTTGAATAATTTCAATCGTATATTTCTTATTTAATAAGAAAAAGTGGAGCAATAGTTGAGTTTGGTCGATTAAGGGTTTTGTCGTACATGTCAAAACTGTAAGTGTATTGTCCGTCGTTTTTTCATTGATTTTCCAGCGTGGTAACATCAAAGTCAGTTGAGCTAAACAAAAAATCACGTGCCAACTCTTCCGTAATTGCGTGATAAAATGGACTTTTGGCTAATCAACGCTTTTAACTCTGAACAAGTGGTCCTATTTTTTTAAATAGTATACATTGATACTGGTCTTTCAAATACAAAGTATTATAGTTCAATTGTATATAAGACATGTACATGTGTTCTTCAAAGTCAAATGTATGAGAAATGACATTTAATGTTTTTCCACAAACCTTGAAAATAAAAACACAACGTGTAAGGGCAAAAGATAATATATAAACATAAATAACTATATTTTCGAAATGTATTACAAATAGTTTTTATATAATTACAAACGACTTGTAATGCATATGTTCTACAGCAATTACATGGCATGTTATATAAGCCTACATATTCACGTTTCCTTAATTTAGAAATCTTGACTTAACCGTGCCAGATTAAAGTTCAGAACATGTAATTAATATGTATTGATTGTCTTTACCTTATTTAAAAAATAAATTTATTTTAAACATTTAAATTGTAATAATAATTTATTTCGTAGTTTCAAAGACATGAACATAAATTGTATATATCTATCTGTATATATAATTCTCTTCTTGGAGACGTTAGAAAACACCAAGCTGTAAGCGCGCCGAGCAGTCCCTTCTCTTCCTCTCTAGGCATATCGCAACCACCCCCACCCCCACATGGTCTGGTGAGCTGTGGTTCACGCTAAATGTTTACAATCGTAAAGCCGGGTTTAGTGACGCATATTAGGGGCAGATAATTTAGTTTGAAACTATTTTAAACTTAGGGTAGGTAACTAAGAGGATGCTTTCACGGAGGTGGGGGGAGGGGGAGTTGGGGGGGGGGGGGGGGGTTGAGGGAAAGGAGGGTTTTAGTGTTTTAAAGCAAATATTTTCAGTGACAGCATTGGTACTGTCGAATTCACAAATTATGAATTACTGAAAAGTAGAACATAAAACTAAATAGCGGCGTGCGATACGCCGCGGGTCGGCTTGTATATATATAATTCATGGAGACCATAGAAAACACCACGCAGCTTAGCCACCACCATCATCCCCACCTGTCAGGTGATTACAATCGTAGAGCCGGGCTAGTGACGGCTATTAGGGGCAGATAATTTAGTATTTGAAACGAAGGTGAGGTAAAAATGTCTGATAAATCTTTTCTTTGTTTGTAAATTGCTGCTTTCACTGGGCGGGAAGGGGGGGGGAGAGGAAGGGGGGGGGGGCGGGAGGGGTTAGTGTTGAATTCACAAATTATGAATTGCTGATAAGCAGAAAATAGAACAACTAGATGGCGGTGTATACTACGTCGATGGTTAGCTCGTAGTAATTAAATGGAGAATGTAAAATGGCATAAGAACTAGACCAGAATAAGATGTGCAACTCTGTTTCTTTTGACTACTTAGTTGTTTTTTTTTTTAAAACATTATTGAGTTGTGGCCCTTAACTCACAAGAAGTCAGTTAGCCTTGCAATGTTCGACTCGGTATAATAGTTTTCATATTCGGCTTGTGAGGACTGATGCAATAGTATTAAGTTACCCTGGGTAATTCCACACCGTGTTAACTTAACACCCTATGCTTTGAATATTGTTTTAATACCATTTTTACTTTAGCCTATATTTGTAAAGCAAGATTTAAAGCCAGTAATATTTAGATTATAAGCATAAAATATAACTAGTAGTTAATAAAACAAAAATACAGTATTATAAAGAACACCCATTACTAAAGAAGGAACACTACCAGCCTTTATATATCCAACTATGCCACCAGCCGCTATAGTAGCAGCATAAGCTGCCGTAATTAAATCGAGAGGGAAATATATTGTAGTCCTAGTTCTAATAATATGATATAAAATATACCAGATGAATGATAATACTTTTAATATTTATAGTGACTCTAGGCTTACACTGTCGACAGTGTAGCTTTCTTATTGTGGTGCGAATTGTTAAAGCATAAACATAAACACGTATTTTTTTTAAAATAATATCTTTTTTTTTTAAATATTTTTTGTGTGTGTTTAATATTGTTCGTCTTGCTGCCTACCCCTGCTCGATTAAATGAGCATATACATATATGAAATATTATACACGAGCCGACGTATCATACGTATCATACGTCGCTATTTAGTTGTTTTATTTCCTACTTTTCAGTTATTCATAGTTTGTGAATTCGACACAGTAACACTGCTGTCACTAAAAATATTTGCTATAAAACACTATCAGTAGCTCGTTAAGGACGATAACCCCCCCCCCCCCCTCCACCCTCCTTTCCCCCAAGCCCTACCCCCCCCCCCCCTGAAACCAGCCTCCTCTTAGTTACCTCTCCTAAGTTTAAAATAGTTTTACACTAACTTATCTGCTCCTAATAGCTGTCACTAAACCCGCTCTACGATTGTAAACATTTAACGTGAACGGTTTGAACTTTGTCGAGTAGTTGAGATGGGCAAAGTTGACGAGTGTTTATTTTAGGAGAAATTAGTAGTTGACCTTAGATGGATGTCGAGTTGAATTAATGATGGTTGTAACAGAACCTCCCACCTAAGATCTCTCCTAGGTGGGCGCAACCCCACAGCGGTCGATGGCGAGATTTGCAATTGATTGCTTGATGAGTTGAGTAGTAGATTTGACCGCCTCCCGACCCCGGCAGCCAGCCCTAAAAGGGGCTGACAAACCAAATGACTAAGATCTATGTAGAATTTATAACAGATACTGCCTTTGATCTCATTCAAAAGGCCGAGAAGTTGAATTCTGTATGTGACACGACAGTCCCGTGAAAGAGTCAACAACTGTAATGGAAAAAGGTCAAAATTATAAATCATTAAAATAAATATAATCGAACGTTTTAGTGTAAAGACTGCAACAAAAAAGTATAAACCATTTTCGAATGTATGCAAACATTTAATTTATTTCTATCATGCGCATATAACACACAATACGGTAATGTTTTTGTTAAATCTAAATTTAAATCTTGAATGTTGCTAGTTTTGTTTTGTTTTAGCATAACTGTTTGTTAGTTATTTCCCCTGCATTTTTTTTTCTTATTATTGTAACATTAACATGTGAGTTAATTGAGTGTAAATATAAGTTTTGTAATTTATAAAGCAGCAATACACGGTCGATTTCATACTAAACATTCAATACACTTATTAACTAAGGCCCGGGGTTGGAACAACATGAACTCTAGAACCCTAAATCTATTTTAAAACTCTAGAAAAATAATTACAATTATTATTAAGGGGCCTATATAGCAGCTTGAATAATTTTAAAAAAAAAATCTTAAGTATCTTTTTTGTAGAAATAAAGTTATGACAATTTTTTTAGTTTACTCGTACCAATAATCATCTACTAGCAATACATGTTGCTACGAGTACACATTTCTAAAACTAATATCACAAGATGATTTTTTGGGAGCATAATTTAATTTTAGTACACACTGTGAAATAGTGCCTTGTAATTATCAAACAAAATGTTTACGTGTTTTAAATGTTACAAAACAGGCATATTAAAAAAAAAATGTTATTCCATTTATTTACTACTAACTTATGTAACATACACCTGAATATTTAATGAAGGGAAGTAACCTTAACAAAAGGTAAGACAAATTAATCCACATGGTAGCCTTGTTTACAGTCATATACAAGTAATACTTTCTGAAATTGCATTACTATATTATGAAACAAAAATCATTAACTGCATTTAAAAAAAAAATAGAGAACGGGTTTATGTCACGAAAGTATAACAACCTGATTTTGACCTAACTGATGACAAATGTTAGTGTCGAGTTACACTTCAACAAGAAATAGGACGTATACAAGGACCAGATTTAACCATGAAACTATATCTACATATTCCTATCTCTCTACTGGGAAACTCTACTATTTGAAACCACTTATAATGGATATGGATGGCACTGAAGGATACCAGCTCCCCACTCAGCAACCAGAAAAAAGAAATTTAATTGAGGAAATGAAACAGCAAGAACAAGAACTACAGAAAAAAGCACCTGAGCCCAGTTTTACAATCGTCCAAGAGCCTCCAGAAGGACACCCTGATTTTTTGGTGGCTGAAATTTCACTCCCTAATATTAAAACTGCCCAGTCTTTGACCCTGAATGTTGGGGAAGACAGACTCATGTTGACCACAAGATCACATGTTTATTACCTTGATATTTTCCTGCCTTTTGATTTGTTATTTGATGAATGCGGTGCCCAGTTTGATAGAAATTCTAAGATTCTCACAGTAACCATGCCAGTAAAACCACTAGCAGAGAGATGATGCATTGTGGGTCTGATTCTGTCAAGCATTTATCAAGCTCATTTTGTACATTTTCAACCAGTTTTCACTGTGTTCATAACCCTGTGAAACAATAAAATATTTAAATAAAAAAAAAAAAAAAAAAAAAAAAAAAAAAAAAAAAAAAAAAAATGGATGCTATTTGAATGGTCAGTGAATGTGTACACTAAGGAAAGAACACAAAAATCACGGCGTCATCTTCCGTTTTTAGAATATAAAGGAATGAACTATTTCATTAAAATTTTATTTATATTTACGTACGCTATGTAATGTATACAATACACTTTTCTCGGCCTAAACATTTAAAAAAAATTTCTTTCTCTATTTGGATTCTAGATCTAGATCTAGAATCTCTAAATCTAGAGATATATTCTATAGACTTAGACTCTAGATAGATCTAGAATCAAGATCTAGACCCTACCTAGATCTAGAATATATTCAAATATTAAATTTATATACTAAACTATTCCACGCCTTAATTATTTTTTTGAAATCTTTCATTTTTCATTTTTTTAAAATTTATATGTGAATGATAAAGTTGATATCGGGACCTGGCGGGACACGGCGCAGGTGAAGTAGTGTTCACCTGTTTCTGTCTTTTCAGCATATGAAGGGATAGTGCGGTCAGACCCATGCTCAGCCGAAATAGGTGTTTTTAAAAGACAAAAACAACATAACTACCATTGAACAGCTGGGTTTTTAACAACATCTTTTAAGTCTCATTATTTTTAGTCTCTTAATCAGCGAGAGAATTTAATATGGTATTGTGTTGAATAATACAGTGTATAATTTGGTTTTAATTTTTCTAATAGGTATTGGTAGTCTATGTTATTTTAAACAAAGTATAAATATAGACAGTATATAAAACAAAACCCATTTTTTCATAATCTTAACAATGCTCATTCCAATGCTCTTGATCAATAAAATGTTTCTTTCCCCAAGTTTCCGATAATTACTTTTTAAAAAACTAAATTACAGTTCATTTTATTACTCACTTTCCGTAGATATGAACATTTTCTTTAGATATCTCTAACGTTTCTTCCCCTTTCACCTCCGAACGAAATTGAAAAAAAGTAATTTAAAAAAAAAAAAAAGAAAAACCAGTATCTGCTACCCCCCCCCCCCCCACACACACATCTCCCACACCCTCCTCCGGGCAGTTTTGAATGCCGCTCCCCGGAGATACATATCTAAAAGAAAACCCGGGTAGCCTATTTGTAAAGAGAAGAGAGTTAAAAGTCACCGGAAAAGCCCGTGAAACGGGTACCGATGGGTACTAGAGAATAGACTGTAAAGCAATTCGAATTACATTTTTGTTTACATAATAACAATATGACTATAAGTATGGGGTCGGTAATCTGCGATTCGCAAGCCGCATACGGCTGTTTTGACGTCCAGATGTGGCTCTCCAGTTCCTTGCACAAATATTAATAGTTATATAATTTCATTTTTACTGGACGATATCCAAACCTGTTAGTCGGCGTTTGCCGTGTTGAGGCCTCACTGGCTAATGGGAGACACCACCTGAGCCGGTGATATCCGTAAAGAAAAAAATGAAATAAAAATTAACAGCTTCTAAAGTGGATTGAGATAGTCCTAGAATAATATTATTTGATTACTAATTTTACTATTCTGATAAAACAAGTCTATGTTTTTATATTAATAAATATTATTTCCTAGTTAAAGCTATTTATTTTAAATAACAAATTAAATTTATTTACCTAATCCTAATCAAATACCAACATATTGAACTGAAAATGGTGGCTGTTTAAAAACTGGGAAATTGTGTAAATTGTAAATTTAGGTTCTTGCGTATCAAAAGGATGTCGGGCCTGCTATAAGAGTATTATTTTGCTTTCATTATTATGTATGTGTGAAACTGTAACACTCTGAATGGAACATAATCACTGACCCACGGCTACCCCTTGTGTGCTTTATATTTTAACTTAAATATTATTAACACAATGTTGGAACTGCAAACAGTAAGTTATATTTAATCATTCAACAAAATTCGTTCACACACCAATATAAAGTATAATCCAATAAGCAATTCAACAATCCCGCTGCTCTCAGTAAATTAGCAAAACTGTTCTGGCGAAACATAAGGATATACGTGTCTAAGATAATTGAATCAATGAATCGCTTCGATTATGTAATTAAATTGGCGATGTATTAAATATTTATAAATGGTCGAATTTCGACTGCACACAATTAACTCCCATATATAATTCAATTTAAAAAACAATAGCCTATAATGGGAATTAATTTAAGATTAAGCTGTTTAATTAATAAAATGTGTAAGCCTATATGAAGAATACAATGTAAAACAATTTTAGTAAAGGTTTTATGAAAATAATAAAAATTTAAAATAAAAAAATGTATGTTGTTTACATTTACCTACAAATAAATATTACATATGAAATATTTTTATTTTACAAAACTTTTAGAAAATTTGAACAACCTTTTGATAAATAAAATACTGACATTTCGTAATTGCTCAATTGTTAATACACTTTACTCGCAATAGTTACCGCATATTTTATGTTCATTGCTCCTGATGTGTGGGCCACCGTACCCAATCAATCCCCACCCATTCAACCCATGCCGCTATAACCCCACCCACTCCACTGATGCAGTGCAACATTCTGACATAATGGCAGTTTTTTTTTGTAAAATTTATTATTGTATTGATTTTTTATGCTATCAGTAAGGACAGGTTCCTTTATTTTATACATTTGTTGTTTACACATGTATCACTTTTTTTTTTAAAATGCGAGGCATTTGAGATGAATATTACTAAGCAGAATACACTTTAAAATTTATTATGTGAGTATGGGGGATTATTTCCCTTTATTTGAAAGTGATCAAAAAGTTAAACTGTAATCTGGAAATGTTGTTATATTTTGTCATTTGTTATATTTAACCGCTTATAATTGTTCCCCTTTTGGTTATTCTTTCGATTTGTACATATCAATATAAACCAACATATAATTTGCCATTATGTTAAGTATTAGCAAACTACCAGTGTAAAATATGTTGTAATTTGCTTTATGGTAAATAAAAGTTTAAAAAAAAAAAAAAAAAATTGTCTGTTCAGTTAAACCAATTAAATCTTAATTTGAAATACACGCTATAATAATCAGTAACGATTAAAGTAGTTGAATGATGATACAATTGACTCAAACATTTTCAGATTTAACTCAACAACTATATGAAGAATGTCCAGCAAAGTGTAAGCTGCAATAACCTTGCCACATCAAGAGGAAGACAAAACCTCAATGAATATATTATCATAAATTAATTCATTAGCGACCAACATATTTTTTTTCCAAAATACATATAGCTGAAACCTGGTACATTTCCTAGGGCTACTTTGAAGGCAGCACATTGCACAACATGACGAAAACACAATCTATAAACAATGCCCTTCTCACTACATAAAAAAAAAGAAAAAAACGAGACTCTTCGATGGGTCCCTCCAAAACTCATCAACGATACACTTATCCAAGCAGTAGGACTCTCCTTAAAAAAGAAGCCATCCCTTCGTAAAATGTTTCACACCAACAACCTCATCTTCAATATCTACACTGACAAGCCAGCAACCATCCCACGTTACATTGAACTATTAAAATAAAGAAGTAAATATTCTAATCGCAAATACCTGGAGAAGAAAATCGCGTAAGACCTGCTCTTCCATTTTACACTGGACGAACCGCCAGTATTAAACACACCCATCTATACAAAACATGGCATATCGACATCAATAACAACTGTTAACGTACCACCCACTGAAATGGAAATCACTCTCAGAAAAGACAACTACAACAGAAACAACAAGTGCATTGAAGTCAAACCTCATTGACGGCAGAGACACAACGGTTCACATAACCAAAGCAAACCCAGGAACCCCAGACGAAGCGGCTTCCTTAACAACGAAACCATATACAGTAAAAAGAACAGCGGTCACCACCGACGTTATCTAACGAAATAAACATCAGCGAAAACCAATAAACATTTAAATGAACAAAAATATAAGATCTGCTGGTTTTGTAAGAAAACAGAATTAAAGACGACTTCCTAACAAACAAAAACAAAGCTAATCCGAAAAAATACACAAACCTCTCACTGTAACATCTGAATTAAAAGTGGTCTTTCATCACGTGATACACAACACTAACATTATGATATACAGAAGCAAAATTTGCAACAAATGTCTCTTTACAAAAACTTGCCGGATCTACACAGCGTGAAATGTATAATGAAGTAGGAGACGACAGTCAATACATTGATATCTACTACTACGTCACACAACAACGATAAGATACGGACGTAACAACGAGTTAGAGGAAGAGGAAAGCCATCGAGGGAAGGACACATAGTTTCCTTTCCTAAAATACAACATCTATTATGATCGCGTAAACTCCCTTCACTGTTAATGTACATCTATACACCTGAAGCAAATAGTTCAAAATTATGTGTCACTCTATAATAACTGGGGCGGGCAACAATACAGTGTATACATTTTAGTTTGTTTTTATTGTTTAACTTTAAGTTTCTGTCTAAATTATAGTATTAATTTAAAGTAAGTAGCATAACATTATAGTTTAACCAATAGAAATAACTTAATGCAAATAAAAAACAAAAATATAACAAAAGATAGCATATGATATGCTTGTAAAAATGGTAAACTTAAAAGGCCTGGAGAGATTATATGACATACACGCTTATAGTGGCAAAACAAATAATTATCGGCCTTATAGCTTAAGTAAAAAAAGAGCAACAAAGAATAGAGTGGCATTATTTATGTAGGTGTAGAGTTAAATCTGAAATGTATGAGTCAATTGTGTCATTCAACTATTTCAGTCGTTAACGATAGTTAAAATTACATAATTAGTCTCAAATCAATTTAACAAATTTCAACCGGAAAGACAATATAGATCTAGAGGTAACTATTGCATATACAATTTAAGGAGTATAATGAATACAGAAAAGAAGTCGGTATTTAAATTATAAAAAGGTTGATCTACTGTTCTAAAA